GTGTGTGTGTGTGAGTGAGTGTGTGTGTGAGTGTGTGTTCTCTCTCCTTAGTGGGCGTCACTGAGCATTAACAGAACTTGACTGAGCGCCATCCGGTGACACCCTCCCTTCCTCTTTGTCTGCCATTCCGGCCAATCGTCGCCACCCCCCCCCCCATCCCGGACCCCCATAACGGCCCCACACCATTCTTACCTGGGAGGCCGCGAGTCGCTGCTCCTGCATACCCGACGCCCGTCCATCCGGCCCTCCCCCTTTTCCGTCCCTCCCTCTTTGTTCTCGCACCTCCATCTGTCCCTTGCTTTTCTTCTTCGTCTGACTGTCTAAAGCAGCAGAGGCAGCAAAAAGCCGAGCTGGTCCTTTGTGTGCTCGGCCTCAGTTTGTGCTCGGCCGAGCGGACACGGCTCTTATATCCAGGGAGGGAAGGCTCAGCCCTCGTAAAGGCCCCTGCAGCTCTCCCTATCGCTTTCCACCTCTCTCTGAAAAAAGACAGAAAGGCGTTTTTTTAATTTTTTTTATTGTATACAGAGCTGACAGGAGGAACAAAATGCCGACGCTAAATAATTCTCTTCATCAAAGAGCGACTTCAACGCAAACTTCGTTCCCCTTATGCCAAGCAACACTGGAGCCTTTTCTCTTTTTTATGGCGAATTAATTAACTGAATGAATTCACACCACCGCTGCTGCGATCGTCACCATCACCGCGCTCCTCCTCATCAGCAGCGTTGACGGAGCTTTTTTAACACCTTGAAGGATCACACTGCTGACGCCGAGGCAGGAAGAAGCAAAAGATGTCGACAACCGTGTAAAATAAAACTCCCCAACTAGCAAGTTATCACAGCCTTAGTGCAACAGTCTTTAGCCCAGAGTCTTGTCAAGTCTCTTGGCGCCACTAAAGCAGTCGATGAAAAAAAGGGAGGTAGGAGGTGAGATCTGGCGGGAAAGTAAAAGCTGGGAGGAGCAGAGGGTCGACAGACAAGCTAGAAATACAAGGAGAAAGAAGGGTAACAAACGTAGGAGTGAGGAAAAGAAAAAAAAGAGGAGGCTGTGAAGAGGTGCAAAAGGCGAGGAAGAGAACGAGACGGGAAGAAACGAGGTGTTTAGGTTGTTGATCACGACAGGCAGAGACGCCTGGAAGGAAAGGGATCCAGAAGAGGGGGAGCGACGGTGCAACAGGCGAGGCAGGGAGATGGAGTCCTTGGAGGAGAGGAAGAGGGAGAGTCCGGGAGAGCTGCAGCCAGGATTTTAATTAACTGTAATTGGCCACCGAGGGAACTGGAACTGGGAGACGGGAGGCAGGAGAGGGGAGCATAACAGACAGTTTTTAACAGAGTGATCTCTGTCTCTCTCTCTCGCTTTGCACCTCTCTATTCCCTTCAGCACTTTTTCTATCCAAGCGTTTCCATCTCCATCTTGTTTCCCCTCTTCCCATCTCTTTCCACGTGTGTCTTCCTCGATTCCTCAAACAGAATCCTTCACTCGCTACCAAAATCCCCCGACATTAAGCATTATGTGCAACTGTGCCTCAAAGGTCTTTTCGACACTTTACCGAACTACAGGATTGTTACAGTATAATACAGTTATTTGCAATTCTTTGGGGGGAGGCTGAAATCTGGGAAAACATTTGAAAAAGTAATGCTTGACCGGAAGTTGCATAAATAATTTGACTGCAGAGTTGAAGTATTTTGGGGTGAGCTGCTCAGTCTCTCTTAACTGTTAGTATTTCAACTTGTCCATAGCTCATATCATTGATATGTTCATATTTACAATAAATTCAAGGTCATTATTTTGGTTTTCCAGCTCCCATCTTGCGGTTTGGGTTAATTGTAACCACCTGTCATTGTATTTAAGCTATAGTCACCAAACAACAGAGTGAAACACTAGCTAGCCAGCATTTAGCAGGTATGATACCTTCTAAGCATTCAGCCAGGGAGAATTTATTCCAACACGCCCGTAATTATTTTCTCGGCTCGGGGCTGTCAATCATGACACCAGCTGTTTAAATCAGCAGGTGTCCTTTATCCAATAAGCACAACGAAACCGTTACATCGTTAGCCTATCATCTGGCTGCTGTCCCTTAAATATGATGTCTCTCCACCTTCAGCCCATCGATGCTGCTGGACCCTCCATCTCCCCCATTTCCGCCCAATCTTTGAGGATTTATCAGCCTCATCACCTCATCATTCAATGAGCCTCATCAGCCAATACCCCCAGCACCAGTCTGGATTCCATGTGGGGGATTTATCGTGCTGCTGCGCAGGGAAGACGCCCCTCGATTACATCTCTCTGTGTGGAGTCCAAGTGCCAAAGACTGTGTTAAGACTTCATTATCACACATTATCTGTTAGTAATGAACTGTCCTCTGACTAGGCGTTCTATGCGGTTGATTACCTGCAGTACTTTATGTCTTATCACTGTACACTCATTCTGGTCATGGATAAGAAGCTTTGTTGTCTCTCCCTACATTAGACCCACCACCCTGTTTCCCCCCCCGATGTGGCACGCTGTTGCGTTTCTGCCAGTCCGGAGGGGGTTATTTGGAGGGGGGGGGGCGCTGGGGAGCGCTAGCAGCGTTGCCGCTGTGTTCATCGGTACACAGGTGAGCTCCAGGGCGCTGGGTTGTCCGGGTAACACTCACGGCCCACGTTCCCCCGCCTGGCAACCGGAAACACACACTGGTGCACACTGGACAGGCGCACACGCGTCTCACAACAGCCAGTGCAGCTGGCTGACGTATGAGCAAAACTGTCATAGCGCGCGCACATTCGTGCACACGCACACACACACACACACACACAGACAGACACACACAGTATTGATGGATCCCTCATTGAAAACAGGCTGATCCCAAACCGTTCCACTGCTAATCAAGTCCTTCTAATTACAGCGGCTGATATGATTCAAACATCTTAGGTTTTAATATGTGAATCTAGACACGGTCTGCATGAAATTTTCCAGCTGTCATTTGTCAACATCCCCAAATTGTAAGCGACTCTTGCTAAATGCAGCGGCGGTGTGCCATGCACTCCGAGTGTTGCTAGGTTACGGTGCTGGGATGCGGCTGGCTAAGTGGCAGCGGGATCATCCACGAACACTCTGCATGGAGGGCTGACAGCGGGTCCTCTGGACCATTTGGCAACTCGTGAGCCAGACGCTCTTTAAATACCACATCTGGTGGCAGGCACACACAGATCAAGATCAAAGCGTTTGGACCTGTCTCGAGGATTCACGTCTCTCTCTTTTCCACCGCGGCGCTCTGCCTTCACACAATACTCTTTGCTTCCTGCGCCTTAATGCCGTCTCGCCTCTCTCCCCTCATGCTGAGAAGTAATCAAGCCCTGTTGTGAGTGTTTAAGCATCGGAGTGTTGCATTATTTTGGAGACTTAATATTCGGTCTGCAGCCAGTCTCCACACGGCCTACTGCGCTAAGGCCACACACACAGCGGGTGAGTCAGTGAGTCATTCGGATTCCACGCTGAGATAGTTACAGGTAAGAGAGGGATAGGACCTGACAGGTGACTCGCAATGTATATAAAGTGATTTACTTCGCTCAGAGGAGTAATGTCTACCTGAGCAGAAAAGGAACTCTCTCTCTGTGTGCGTAGTCATCTAAGCTTCTCCTTGCGTGTGTTTGGTGTGTATTTGTGCAGGTGAGCGTGTCCCGTTACCTCATAGCCGCTGCCATGTTAAATGCTATGCTATATGCTACGCAGCCATCAGGTTAACAGTGTTTCTGCGGTTGCTAGCGCTGTACGAACAGCCATCTGGGCCGCCATTAACAGGCAATGGAAATGTTACCAAATTTTGTAGCACCTTTAAAGCGACACAGACACTAGTAGTAACCACAGTATAATAATACACAGTACGCACATGCACACAAGAGCCGACCGGAGTGACATGCAGAAGAATCCCCTCACAAACATTAGAGCTAACATCCAGAAAGTTCGAACAGACAATACAAGAACTCATGTCCCTGCTAATCCCCTCCCCCCACGCTGCTTCATTTTTATTTTTATTTATTTTACCTCTCCCACTCCCTCCTCATCTGTCTCTTCTACTCCCGCTCTGCATCCTGCCTTGAGCTCGCCTTTATCTTCGCTTCCCTTTTCTCTGCCTTCCTTTCGTTGTGAACTTAAACTCTCTGTGGAACCATAAGCTGACATCACACAGACGCTGTGTTATTTTAATCTCTCCTACTCACTCACACGCACACCTGGGTGGTCATTATATTGCACAGAGCATTCTGGCAATACCTATTGGCGTCGTGTTGTGTGTGTGCCATTACAGCGGTGGGCGGGCGTGACACATGGGAACGCTCAACTGTGCGAAACACTTTCACAGGGAAATCATGTTCTACACAAACCTACTGATTCCAAAACTTTTACAATTTTTATTCCGCACATTCTTCTACCCACAATGCACCTCCACCTCTCTTCAGCCCCAACAAAAAGTGAAGCGATGTCACTCGAGTCAATTTACCAGACTTCAAACAGCTCCCTGGAGAAAAGAGGCTTTTTACAACCAAAATGACATGACCTGTAGCGCTAGCAAGACCTACAATGAAATGGCACTTTGTTTCTTTTTCTTTTGAGTTTGTAGCCTTGTGTTTGAAATGCACTCATTGTAACTTTGGACAAAAGCGCCAGCTAAGTAACCTGTAATGTACGATCTACATCGAGTGCTGAGACCCTTCCCACAGTCCCGTGTTGTGTATTAGAAGAGAAGCTGGAATATTTCAGAACTAAAACACCTAGAAAAGCTTTTTCTGTCACGTTGAATATCTGGTTTTGTCACATTACACACGCCGCAATGGAGTGCCACTTAATAATTGAGTACCGTTTACTTTGCTATAAATGGAAGGCCGTGAGTGAGATTATTTTGGTTTTTGAGGAAAACAGATGTGCTTTAAGTAGAAAGAAAAACAGCTTTGGGTTCTTACTCCACAATTTATTTCTAGAAAAAGTACCTCATTGTAGCCGTCGCTCGCACACTTCCTACTCACACTTTGCCGGGAGGCCGTAGCCACAGGTGATCTTGGCCTCTCCGGTGTCACACCCGTGGAGGGAGGCGCATTCCTGCTTCAGCATGGGCCCTGCGGCGCGGTGGATGGCTCCGTCCACTGGAGAGGACAGGAGAGGACATTCAGAGGGCCTGCGAAGACTCGAGTGTCCAGCGACACCCTTACAGGCGTCAAAGCTCAGAGCGGAAAGGACGTGGATAATGTCGGGATTAGAGGTGAATAGCTGTACAACCCGTCTTCTGCTAACTTTTAAAAAACTTTTCTCCCTAAATCCGTTTTTCTGGTCTTCAAAGAATCTTACTCTCTGTGTGTCCGTCTATTTAATGGATTTTAGGGCCAGTGCTTTAGTTAATTACTCCATTTAATGTGTTATTAAGGACTCAGCTGACTTTGACTTTCTGGTCAATTAGTCTTTATTAATTACATTTTCATAAATCTGTATCCGTCTGTGATCTACACCACGTCTAAAGACCGTGACTGTTCTTTTCCAGGATGGCAATGATGCAGGAGCCAAATGACAGTTTCAGCCACAGAGTTACCATTTTAACTAAAAAAAAGAAACAAAAGTTTAGTATTTGCCACTTCTCAGGGAACTTTAAAAAAAAGGCATTTTAAGTATTTAAGAGGAAGTCATCAGTGTAGAGATGACAGGAAACAAGGGGAGATAGAGATGGAGAGTGACATGCATCAGATTTGGACTGAAGGTCTTTGCTTCTTATCCCTATCCAGAGGATCCTTATAAATTAAATTAGGTGCAAAGTTGCAAAATGTTACTGAATGCATCTGCAAAATGTCCACTGACAACATATTGCATTTGTTTTCCCTGTAATATGTTCTTTTGAAAAACCCCATCTCCAGTGGATGCCTAACGGCCCAAAGAATGATTCATCTTTTTATCGTTATCTCCAGTCGAGGCACTTTGCAACAGCTAGGAAAGACCGTCCTCTTGGTCTTTATGTTTTCCCAAAGCGAACCACATGCACTCTGGACGTGAACACGCACGTCCTGAAACCTTGGCGTCGAACGTGAGCTTTGTTCTTGGCCAGCACACAGCAACCTGCATGCAGATTGCTGCAAGCAATCCAAATCAAGACTTCTTCTTTCAAATCAATTCAGAGGTATAATGTGGGAGGCTATAGAGTCAATAATTCATAATACACCCAGAATAAAACACATCTGTCAGAAATAAAAAAGTTTGCCGCAGCACCGCGAGACTCGTCGGTGAAAATACTGCAATCACACCCTTCCACATGTCACAGCTCAGCGGGTTGCTGTGGCTCTCATCTGTCGCGCTGTACACAGAGCAGATGTTACAGCGGTGGCTTTCGCCAAGCCGAGTAGCTGTGGGCGAGGGGGGGGGTCTGGTGTCACCTCAACGTTATTGTGTTAAGTTGGCGTATGGCATGACGCGCTGGGCTGCAGTGTGCCGTGTCACGCGGCGCCATATTGAACAGGGCCGCACTGGCAGCGAAGCACGCAAGTGTGAGGCTGTGAAAGGGGAGTTCTGAACACCGGCTCCCTCCTCGGGGTGCACAGAAACGAGATCAGATGCCGCTCTCGCTGCGCGTTGGTGTGCGTGCACAAAGTAATGGCGCTGTGTGTGTGTATCCTTGTCAAAGCACACGTGTTACCATATACAGATGTATTCAAGTGTGTGAAGAGTCCTTGAGGTGACACACACACACACACACACACAAACACACACGCTGCAAGCCCCAACTTTGAAGAAGCCCAACTCTGAAATAGAGAATAAGTGTGATAAGATGGAGAGACAGAAAGGGGGAGGAAGGGAGGGGAACAAGGGAGAGAGCAGCAGATGCAAGTATAGTGTGCAGGGAAGAAACAGGCAAGAATAACGAAAAGATTGAAATTGAACTGACATGTGAACCTGCAATACCTTTTGTATTGTTTTTGGTTTGAAAGCCTCAGTCTGCTGAAGGTGAAAACTGGCTCCCAGTTTTTATGAGAGGACTGCACTTCCTTCAGCTACAGTAATGCTTTTTGACCCGACAACCTCCGCGCTCAAGCCGACGCATGCACAATGAGTGGTTATAGTTCAATATACAGTTAATTTTTCACACCCAACACAGCATGAATGCATGCAAGCAGGCTCAATTCCGAGATTAGGTAAGTAAATGTTTGAAGGACAAAAAATTAAGAGAAATGAGTAATCGCTGCATGGTGCCGGGACACTAACGTAATGTTTGTGCAGCTTCATGCTTCCTCCCAAATGAGTCTATTCTCCACGGTGGAACCAGATCAATCCAAAACACACTGTGGTCAGGCACTCAGGTTTAGAGGAAGTTTATAGTTTTGGTTCAAATAAGGATGTTGTCATCCTGGTGAATTACTGATTACTAAGTAGGTGATTAAGGTACTGACAACATTTGGGTCCATACTGGAGTTTATTTCTAATTGGAGAAGAGAAATCTCTCTTCCATTTTAAAGTCCAATGTTTTGTGGACCCCCCCCTCACCGTGAATGTACTATTGCAGAGAACTGGACGCTCTGAGACGGCGGCATATCATTCCTGTAAAAGTTGCTCACTGGTGGAATATGCTGAAAAGCGTTTGCAAGCTTTATCGCACTGCATGTTTTGTGGGCGTCCTGTATTTGTTGCTCTCAAAGCGATGACCTTGTTTCCATCAAAAAAGCTGTCCCCGTTCTTCATCGGGAACATGTAATTTTGAAGTATTTGTTGAAACGAATGTTCTTCTTTGTCTCTTCATTGTGAACATGTTATTTTGAAGTACTTGCTGAAACCAATGTTCTTTGTCTCGGATATAGAAAGACACAGCACTGCCGTTTCATATCATTTCACATTTCCAGTGGTGCACAATCTTCAAATGAAGGCAACGCATCAGAAGGAGAATAAATCTCTCTCTCTCTCTCTGGAACCCAGCGAGCAGGGCTAAGAAATAACCTAACGTCTGTTGAGTCTCTCCCTAACTCCTACCTCTCTGATACAAAGAGCTGTCCCCGTCCCCGCTCTCACTGAAGACAGCCAATGTTGGCTTCTATTCGGACTGTGGTAACTTCTGGCTCTGCGGGAGCCCGAGTAATAGCCCAGCATGAGCACCGCATGCTACTTAGTCGATTCAGACGCTGTTCTGTCACTTCAATGCGGTCAGAAATATGAAAGGCGAATTCCCAAGCAGAGGGAGGTGTACGTGATAGATTTGTTGAAGAAAGGCTGCACCAGCAGTACATCTTTATTGAAGGCACATATTTAATGGAAATTCTGCTCAAGGGGGCAATTAAATCCTTTACTTCTTGAGAACAATATCAACCAAGTCCACCGGTTGGTGTTGCAAAGGGCAAATAATGGAATTAAAAAGGAAATACTTAAAAATGTTAACTAAGATGATGAATATAGTAAATACCCACCAGATCATGCATGTTGACATTAGCATGTAGCGCAACGTACCGCTTTTGCAACCGATTGAAAAACTTGATTTACAGACTCTGATGACTCGTCCTCGCAGCTGCTAACGATAGCCTACCGCTTGTGTAGCTACGGTGGCTAGCTAGCCATCTACCTTCTATTCATATTCATTTAAGTCAGTGTTTCCCTCCGTTATTAAAGTTTGCACACGGACAAAAACACGTACACAAGAGAGCAAATGCACACTAGCCAATCTAACACGCTTTTCGACATATGTTACATATCTTTAGTTCCTGCACAATGAGCATACATCTAAAATCAAATGATTAATATTCCCCAAAGTCCAATGAACTAATAGATAGCTGGTTTGAGATGCATGTAGTGGTAAAACATGTTGAAAACATTTGTCTGCCACTGACTATGGTCTCATGTGTATAAAACATAAGCGTTTTTACTGCTCGGAGACGCCGTTACACAGAACGCTGGAATACGTGCTGGTGTGTTGGACCTCCTGCTTGCAAGCAATAGTTAGAGACAGATATCTGCGGAGAATCGCTCATGTAATCTTTTTGTCTTCTAAATGAATGTTAACTTTTTGACTTTAATTGATCAACGTGTTGGATCCTTCTCATCAACCGACTCGGGGGGATCAGAGATCCTGACACTGGTCAAGTTCTTACAGAGTGGGAAACACTAAGTAAACTGTTAATACGTTGTCCATAGATTGAAGTTCAAAGCCGTAAATAATAACTGTAGTTGCAAATGCAAAACTGCATTTTGAGAAGTCAACACACACACGCGGCATTGAAAACAGGATAGCCCTAACTAAACTAGCATCAATGCAGCGTCGGACGCTTGTTCATACTCCACTGACTCCGTCACATGCAAATGGAGTAGTTGAACTACTCAACAATCAGCCTTAATTAGCGACACCTAATGCCACCAACAGATATCAGCATGAATTAGTCATGAATTTAATTGAGATTAACAGACACAAGAAAAAAAAATCTTGCAGGAAGTATCTAACTCATTTCCATATAAAAAAAAAAACGCATTCATTATTTAGTCTTCATTACCATACAAAATATCACATCAACATTTTCTGCCACTGAAGCCCAGTCTACAAGCAAATATGAGATGGGATGGAGATATGAAAAAAAAACAATGGAGAGACTCACGCAGAGACAGAGGGAGACGAAGGATTGAAAAGCACAGTTGGACAAAGAGAAATGGGTTTTGGGAGGGGATCAAGTGTAAAAAGGCTGCGTAGGTGAAGAGACTGAAGGAGAAAGGGGGTGAAAAACAAAAAAGGGAGAAGATGAATGGTTAGCGGGGGTTCAAAGAGGAGAAAGACTAAAAAGGATTCCAGGGATGGATGGATGTAGAGACGTGGTAGAAATGAGGGTTTTGGCTTCTGTGGACCAGCGAGCAGCCAGCTAAGCAGGCGGCGGGCCGGCTGAGGTGTTATCATTCCTCCCTCACAGGCTCAGTATCGACTGACTCTGGGGGAGACAGGGAGGAGGGAGCCAGGGAGGTAGGGGGACGGGGCAGTGATAATTGGCGATATGCTTACCTGGCGAGCCGCCTGCGACCCGCAGCGGGGCACACAAACAATCACACACACACACACACACACACACACACACACACGTAGATTGACATTAGAGTAAAACCAATCCCGAGGTCTCTCCTATGGAATACTAATACGGCTGCCCTTGCCAGCTGACCTCTTATAGGCCAAACAGGCTGTCCGTCAAACTAATGGGGCGGAACGCTGGCATATTGCTTTCCCACAATCCCTCAGCAGAGCCAGGACACTCATTTACTTCAGTCAGCTTGTTGCCAAGGCAACATTTGGGATGGGCCTGGTGGGGTGAGATGCACGCACATACATGCACACTGCTTCGCACACTCGTGTCTATGTACACGCAGAGTTAAAAACCTGTTAAATGCCACTACAGAGTTAATCACATAAACATGGCCGTTTAACCCTGTGAAGCAGAGGCACTGACAGCATTGTTAGTGGAAGGTACTCTGAGCGCTCTTTGCCTCTTGTCTCGTCTCCGCGCCCCCAAAAAAACGATCCTCTGCCCCTTTACTCACAATACATGCTCCCTTGTTCCCTTGTTGTGAAAGTCGAGCAGACAAGCCCCTCCACTGCCTGCTTTTATTCTCCTCACACAGACAGGCAGAGAGCAGAGGAGGGTTGCACTGCAGACACACGGCAACAAAAGTCGAGAGACTTCCAGAGCAGGGTATGAAACCTCATCCTCGTCCTGGAGGATTGATTATAGATGTCAGAATACACAAAACCGAAAATCCAATGTGCAAGAGGATTTTGTACTTCCTTCCCCTTCCACTCCCCCTACCAGCCACCTCTCCCAACCAAATACAAAAATATAAGTGAATGATTGGGATCATGCTCATTTATTGTGAGCTGTGTCCGGATAGCTTAAGACACCTAAACCAATCATAGGCAGCCGCTGTCTTCATGGCTGGTTCACATCCTGAGCACTCAGTCCCCACAGACCCACAACAGGCTCTCTGACACCAGCCGCCTGGGTTTGTAACCTCACGTCTGGTTTTGATCGCAATATTTTTAATGCAAATACAGCACATTGCATCGCTGATTTACGCTGATACCATGCAATCAATTCTAATTTAATCATCAATCAAAATCTACGCCTCAAACATCTGCGACAAGGCTATTTTCAACCCCTTGCATCAGGTACAAATCGAGCATTACTGTGAGTCAGCTGGTTTGTCAGTCCTCATTTTGTAAATATGCACGACTCCTTTATAAGGGAGATCGCAACCTTTAAGCTTTTTCTTGTGTCAAAATCAAAATACCGCACCGCAAATGGTAGACCTATCTTTCATGGGTACAACACCTGAACACACTGAAGAGACACACGAGTGGAGAAGAGGGTGGATGGAGGCCACCTTCCTGTCCATACCAGCCATTAGGCAATCCCTTCCTATACAGAGCGCACGTGAGGCTTCACCAGTCCCAGTTAGCCGACTGGGAATTTGTAACTTGTATTATTGGGGAATTATTGGGGAAAAGTTCCCACTTCATTTGAACTAAAGAGTGTCCTCTTCCTAGTGAGGAGTCTCTTCGTGGCTGCTATGGAGAGATGATTATAAGGTTCAGTAACTCCTTCGATGTACACATGGCAGATTGTGCTGGATTGAGAACATATCCCTTTATAGGGTGTCTGACCTTTTCTCCCGTCCCTAATGACGGAGCAGGCCACAAACCTTCAACGCACCACTCTACCCAAAGGCACATTACTGACATATGGTGACCTACTTCTATAAATAAATATTTATTCACACACTATGTATAAAGCTCGTGGCTGCCCGATCCTCCCATCATCCAATTATCATCTGGGATTTGTTTTCCATTTGTAAAATCAATCATAGCCGCAAAACATAGAAATGCTGGAATAAATGAGCTATTGCAGCCAGGGGCCATTAAAAAAACCTTCTAATTTCCTGCCCTTGGGTTTGTTGTTGATGTGCGGCCAGAGCTCAGCACCCCTGCAGACTGAAGAAAACAATGTTAACAGGTGTGTGTTTGATCCAACTGAATGACATCTACCCAGGTACCCTTGAGACTGAGTAGCAATGCAGTGTAGTAAAGACCTTTTGTTGCATCACCTCTGAAGAACACGCCAAGCTGAACGCATGAATGGCACTCGGTGCGTCGCTTGATCTCGGGGTGAGGGGACATATGCTGAATGATCCGTGGGTGTTTTGTTCACTGGGCTCGGCATCTGCATGTTTATCTATTGGAGCCGCCATTGCTTTTGTCTCTCGTCTTCTCGCTCGAACCATCGTTTCCCCACCGTCTCTCTTGTTGTTCTCTTCTCCCGCTTCTCTCTACGCTTAACTCGCTCTCTAATTAACACCTACCGCAGCCTCTATCTGCCTTAGCAAACCCCGGAGGATAGAGCTGGAAGGGTGGAGGAGGGGGGGGGGAGGATGGGGGGGGGGGGGGGGTGGAACCCCCAAAAAACCAGAGAGTTGTGGAGAATGACACAAGCTTAAAAAAAAAAAAAAAACACACCGAAGCCCAATGTGGTTTGTTGGAGCGCAACCCTTTTCCGCACCTCCGTGGGACTTTTTTCACCTAAAAAAGAAGTTGTGGGAAGAAATTACCCAAAACACAATTTTAAGTAATACAGCCGGTGTTAACAGTTTGACGCACACATTCATTCACGGCCTCTCTAGAAACCATCTGTCCCCACAGAGGCGTCAGAGACTTCGGGACGACGGCAAGCGATGCTGTTGATCGCGATGTACTGAATGCGCGGGTGCGCGGCCCATTTTCACGGTTCGAGGCTCAGCTGGAGTGGATCGGCGAGGGCAGAGGACTTACCGCTCCAACACATTTCAGACAAGCAAATGCAGCTTCAGAGGCAGGCAAATGCAGTGAACTTGCATACGAATGCACATGAACACGTACAGGTGCGCCACGGGGAGATGTCACCATGGAGACTGGAAAGCAAAAACACTTTACCACATGCACCCACATTACATACAAATCAAAGGTTAAAGTGTCAGTCTATGTGAGCTGGTCTGAGCCGTTTGGCCAAATGAAAAGTAAAGAAAACAACCAGAGGGAAACACATCACCCCCCCCCATCCCTCCCCCCCAATGGAAAGGGTGTGCGCGTGTGTGTGTGTGTGTGTGTAAAGGTTTTAGCGAAGGTGGGAGCCGCATTAGCCGTACAGATTTATCAGGAGTATCGATTAAACCCGGACGCCCGACATCACACGCATGCAGCAAAGCACTGAGTCAACAATACACTGAAAAATGACTGTTTACAACCACAGCACTTCACTCCCATAAATTATGAACCATCGACTTTGCACCTGCGCTCACCGTACAAACACACGGGCAGACGGACAGACAGACGCGCACAGCGCGGCATGCAAACACACTTTGCACACCTGCCACAACAAAGAGCTGCTTGCTAGCAGACAAAGAAATGTACAGGCGGACCACACAAGCGACGCGCTCTCTCTGGATGGTGCGTTGCGCTGCATAATTTCATTAAAAGAACATTTGAAATGATTTGCCGTCCAGGGAGGACCATTTGCACCACAAAGCTGTACTATTATTATTAACAAGGGAGGACTACAGGTGCCTTGGTAAGAAAAAACAAACACACAACCAAAGGGCGAGACAGGTTGTGACTTACCTCCACCTCCGCCAAGCAGGGTCTTGTTGGCTGAAAGAGGGAAAAGAAGAAATATGAGTGGAACGAAAATGCCTCAAACACAATGAGTTGAAACTACCAAACTTGTGGGTATTAAAAACAGAATGCATGAAGCTAAGAGAAGATGACTCAGTTTGGATTTCCTGTTATATCTGATATTTATCTTTTCTCACCGCATTCAATTTGCATAAAACCACAAATGTAGAGTGGAAAATAGTAAATCGTTCAATTAAAATGGATAATATATTAGCAAAGGCTTTGAAGAAAATACCTAATGTTCCGAGTTACAAGCTCCTCGGTGAGCGTTTTTCACTTTTTTGTATTTTCACAATACGTTGTTTAAGTAAATCTGTAGACTGGCACAAAAAGCATTTCCTTGTGCTCTCAAGCCGTGATGACCATTTTTTAAGACATTTTTAAACGAATAAATTTATTGTTTAATTGTTGATGAAAATAATGCATCCCAATAACAACTTAACGATAACTACTAATTACAGAGCTGACCGCTGCTGCATTCAAGGTTGCATCAGTAGTTTGGATTGCTTGTTTGCAACAGAGAAATCCCCATTTATCTACTTCTTCTTTGTTGCAGACACACTGGGCTCTGCAGTCCCTTGACGCTTCACCAAAGGGAACACCTCATCATTATATTCATAAACAGCTGAGTCCAAAACATCTCTTCATCGGCACAGACGTGTGCGCTGGGTGTGTGGTACACAAACTTTAATCTGCAAAGATTGAATTCACTTTTACCTCTGATTGTGCTTATTAAACTCGTTATTATATTCACATGCCGCATGGACTTGTCCTATCTTACATTATTCATTATTCGGCTCAGCATTTCTCAACAAGAGTGGTTCTCAGTCCAAGTCCTCAGTGCTCGCAGTGCCGCAGTGTTATCCAACCAGAAATTAATTGCATTCACCTGGCAGTCACCTGGCAGTGCAGGTGTAACTCCGTCCCTGATTAGATCGACAGAATGAGAACCAGCAGGCTCTGAGTCCCGCCAATGAGGACTGACAAGCGCTGCGCAGTCACACCGAGTAGCTGCACGGTCTGCAAAGCTAATGAGTGAACTCATGCTGAGGCTACAGTCCAAAGGAAAATAAACAACTCCGTGAGAAACCGGCAGGCAAGATGGTTCAATTTGGATTAGAAAAAAAGGTGGAATAACAAGGAGTTGATTGCAGCTCGAATAAATGGCAATATTATGAGGTCGCTCTCTCTCTCTGTGTACATATGTGTATATATATATTTGCTGCCGGGTGACGTATGTGATCCAAGTGTTTCCCTCGCTTATCCGCTAACATGCAGACATCACCGGCTGCAGCGCCTCCAACCCGAACCTGACCAGGAACTCGTAAAAATCCTGTTTTCCAATTATTTCCCCTCCATCCTGGAAGCACTTTTGCTCGGTGGAACCGTGTTAGGAAAATGTGATGAGCACATAATCTCTGTGCTGGCGACAGTTACCAAGTTACTTCAGAACACACGTGGCACATGGGAGACGTCTCTCGCTTTAGTTAGTTAGTGTTTAGGCGTGCCAATTGGGTGCACGCTCAGATGATGATCCAGGCGAGTTTAAAGAGGGAGCGCAGAGACTAAATCCCACAGCTGTCTTTCCCTCTCAAGAATCTGCTACTCTGCAACATTTCCACCATCCCCCACTGCCTCATTAATGGTAAATCCCACTTAATTTGAGTGTCTCAACACACAACACGTCCCTGTGTATGTCTCACTCACATCCCCCAAAGTGAATACCTCCACTCTCTAACTTGAAAATGTGCAGCTCCGAACAGCGGGAACTGAAGACGAGGACTTTCAACGCGTCAGCGTGAGACGATTTGAGGTGCACGGCCTGTTGAAGAGCTGATGGATATTATAGTGAAGTGAAATAAAGCTCATCGCCATGTAAAAGCCCCGACGAATAAAGCGTCTCCATTCATCCTCTGCTGATTAGCTGCAGGCTGTACATAAGAGTGATATCACATAATGGGCCTTGTTAATACGCGTCCGTGTGGAGAAACACGCCCAAGGCCGTCCGAGTGATGGAGGGTTTCTTTTCCAGCACCGACGTGGCGCTCCAGAGCCGAACGCGCGGTCCCCCGGGTGTGGTTGGTGGTGGAGTGAGCTGGTGGCGGCAGAGGGGTGCACCATGGAGGCACGTCGGGCCCAAAGCCGCAGATCTGAAGATGGCGCTCTTTTAACCCGGCTGCAGCGCCGTGGCTCTGACTGTTTCGAGCCGCTTGGGTGTCCATTTAACACGGCCCGTATTGCCGCTGACAGAGGCCGGATTAGAAAAGGTTTGAGTCATTTGGTGGTTTAGCACAGATGATGTTCAATCAATAAAAGTCGTGAAGCTTGCTTCATCCAATGATGAGATTTCTGAGCCACAAAAACGATGCAAATGAGCAAATAAATGATTGTAATATTTAATATTAATATCAATGGTCATAATGTAAGTTTACGTTTAGTTGGTATGAGTGGCGTCACGTTAAAGTAAGTGTCTGTCCAAAATAAAATAACTTGGTAACAGTAACTTTTACTGCTATGTGCCAGTTTATGATGTCAAATGCATTTAAGGACCTATCTTGTGAAAATGTGTTATTTTCAACCACTCTCCCGCTGCCTGCCTTGTCTTCGTGTCACTTGATGTCCAACATTTCCCATAGAGCCATAAAGCCCAAAGAACACTTTCACACAGTGATGGTGAAGCTAAGCCACTCAAATCATGTTCAAAACATGCCGTATGGCTGAAATGCCGTTTGGGTCATTGATGTCGCTCCGCTGTAGTGCCAGACTGACAACAAAGCTTTGCACAAACCAATGTTTTAGAAATAAAAAAATATCTGCAACCATGCTGCATTGTAACTGCAGAAAACGTCTGCAGAAAAAGTGTTGCTGTCTGCGTCTGGACAGCTATCATCAGCAACGACAATACGGCACCAAATGTTAACAAAATTACCGTAGAAACTAGTTTTTCAACTGGGAAAATAAATTTCCGTTGGTGATGCTTTGAGACCATATGACTGTAAGAAAAGTAAGAAATACAGCTCGCTTTAAAAGATCTCAAGATTGTGGGACGAAATGTATTTGATAGAAGATGTCCGGCTAGTTTATATGTTTGTTCTTTTTTCTCCCATTTCCCTTCAGTGCACCAGGGAGGTAAAAACCGTGAAGGCCTTCGATGAGGAGAGAGAATCTAATGAACCAAGACAAGAAAAGACACTGAGCTCTTGCCTCCACATTCATACGTTCATGCTGCAACACAATAAAACCTTTAGAATGCTCTTCTCTGGCTTTGCTCCACTGCAGGGTTTAAAAAACACAAATGATGGGTTATACAAAACCCTCGCTGTAGTAAGTATGAGAAGATGTTTCAAATTAAAATCATTATCTTTTACACAGTTGGCCTCCCAGGCAGTTCAGAAGAAGATATAATCCCCAAATATATATATTTTTGACTTCCAGGGAAGGAGTGCGAGACTCAAATGCAACTCTTACCTTCCCTCTTACGGGTACAGAATACATTTGGGTTTTAATTATTCTCGCTTTTAATCTTTATTCATGGGATTATATGATGATTAAGATGCTTGTATGTGGAGCAGAACAGACCTGTGTTAAATGATCAATGATCCCGTGTAATACCGCTGTTCTCTTTGTAGATACAAAGGCGCTTGAGACACAAGCAGCATCTGAACCCAGCGGGGAAACAAGGGCATCAAAGCAACCAAAGTACTCATGTGTATGCACAATCATGCAGTCGCAACAGACGCACACACACACACACACACACACGTATGAATACAGACAGTAGCGTTTGAGAGTTTGGGTAACCATGGCAACGGAAAAGCCCAAAGGTTTGATACTGAAACCTAGTTAATTATAGAGGGAGAGAGAGAGAGAGAGAATGTCCATACTCAAGGGAAAGTGATTCACCATCTGTTAAATCCTACATGTATCCTCATGTCGAGTGTGTACCATTTGTAACTGTGTGTGTGTGAGGTGTGCATTGGCCACAGTTGGCCACAGTTGTTGCATGGGGAAAAGCAAACAAGCGCACAAAGTCCCTTCTCCCGCGGTGCCGACTGCATGAAAGCAAACGGTCTCTTCTTCTTATTTGTATTAGATGACTAATTGGAGCCGCTAATGCAGAGAAGCTAAATAAAGCGTGCTAGCGTCTTCTGCCGAGACGCACCAATTATCCGAGCGGGGAAGGGATGAGGGTGATAAGTTATACCACTACATGCAGAGCTAAGGAGGGGTGGAGGAGGCAGGGAGGGAGGGGAGGAGAGCGCGAGGTGTCAGGGGGATGGAGGCAGGGCTCGGGGAGGGGTGACAAAGAGCGAGCGAGGGAGACACACAAAGTGAAACAGAGTTGAGGGTGGAGGAGGGAGACGCAGGACTAAATTTGCTGGGAACATAAAACAACAAGATGGAGTGTACTTCTTCTTCTTCGTCTATCCGGGGAGGTAAGTAATCACACTGAAGGGGTGAAACGGGGAGAGAGACGCGTGCGGGGAGAAAGAGAGAGAGAGAGGGAGAATGGGGGGGTGGAGGGCTGGATAGGTTGATGCATCAGTGAAGGACGAGAGCTAAAGGTTTCCAACCTGGCCGGAAGTTAGTGAAACTAAAGAGAGGCGATCGGCGTTCCACCACCTGTGTGTGTGTGTGCGTGTGTGTGTGTGCGTGTGTGTGTGTGTGTGTGTGTGTGTGTGTGTGTGTGTGTGTGGTTATACGACAAGTCTAGAGCGATGATGGTGATGATGACAATCGGCTTAAATCCCCTTCATGCAAAGCGGTCTCCAGGCTTTGCTTTCTGTGCCCTCCCCCACCCCCACCCCCCTCCTCCCCCCATACCTTATTTATCATTCTATTCCCCAGGCCCCAGTGCTACCTGTTTGTGTATTCCCCCCTCTCCCGCCTTCTTCCTGCATCTCGCTCTCTCTCCTCACCCACTTGTCCTAACCACCATCATACCTCTTCCAGCCTTCTAATTTCTAGCCATCATTTAGTCGGCCCTCTTGAGAACGCCGATCAATTTGTCGGCATCCTTGCGGTGGAAAAAAAGTGCGGGATGAAAGCGTTCATGTTGATACACCTTTAGCTGAGATTAAATGAGATTATAGTACGAATAAATTGTTCCGTGGGATGGAATAAAACATCCCTTTTCAACACAAGGAGACAAAGGTTAAAAGTAGAAATGAAACGAAAGTAGTGTATTTATGAAGTGGTTGAGGACAGAGCTGTCCAAGGGTTGGTTGTCCAAAAAAAAAAAAAAATGGTTTAAAAAAACTCTTGATTCATGTTTTTTATTGGCTTTGCTTGGCTTTTGAGCAAATGCAGCTCCAGAGTCTCACTGTGAAAGAGCTTTTCTTGATTCCCACTATGGAAAAAAAAGGCCTGTATTTCACCTAAAGGCTGCGACTTTGACATACAAAGAGCTGACAGATCGAAACACCGATTCCTCCGAACAACACCAACATCTCCACGTATTCCACGCAGCGGTGGAGCTCCTCGATGATCTACATGCGGAGCTCCTCTTTATTTGAGCTGAGCTTGTGATGAAGTACGTCTCTAATTGACAGCAGAGGAACCCGTCATTGCTAATTACCGTCTCATTGTTTACATGCGTCCACACCTGCAGAGACAAAGTCAAACAAAGACGTCTTGGCCTCGTGTTTTTCTGCTGTGTAAACCCTCCTGTTGTCTACAGTTACTGGTCTGCACAAACACACGAAACGTGAAGAACAAAAACCCTCACAGCAGTTTGAACGAATGATTTGTTGACGGAGCCTCGGACATTTGATCAGCTGCTTTCTTTTCTTCATAATTAGTCATGTGAAAATTAGTGAATAGATCGAGTAAGACGAAATTAACGGATTCAAATGACTTCTTTGTGTCCTAAGCTGTTAGTAGTTGTAACCTAAATACTTACAGAAGGGCTATCTTATTTGGTTTTAAAGACATATGGAGATGTTTATTAGCTGATGATAACCAATGGGAGACATGTTAAATACTCAAACATCTATAATCCTAAACACAAAACTAGGTAACTCATCAATTTAGCAGCCAAAGTGTTATTTGGCAAGTATGGTTTTCTTTACATGTACAAAAGATATTTGAATATATGTTTTAGGTCACTAAAAAAAAAAACATGGCTCTGGCAAAACTCTCCTTTTGCTCTTTGAAAATGGACAAAAAGTAAACTGCTTTAAATATCTCCACCTGGCATGAACGTTTCACAACCGGTTATAGTGGATGCATTATTCATCATTTGCAAGAGGATGCAAGCACAACCCTTCAGAAGACGGTGGACTAATAAGACCGACATGCAAATATGTGAGACAGGAAGCTCACAGAGGTGGAAGGTGCAAGGCGGAGGACGGCTCGGTGATTAAGGCCTCGGACACCCACTGGGTGTTTGGTCAGCTGATCGTAACCACAATGTTTTACTTACAAACTTACAATCACCTGTGCAAACGTTGTGCATTTTAAAATAGAGAATGACATTTGAGTTTAACCTTGTGGCAACATTGTCAGTAAGACATGAATACTGAATCAAATCATGATGCATTTCATCAACATTTGATCAATACCCCCCGAGTTGTCTAAAGTCTAAAGCATGTTCTATTTTAAGGTGATTTCTTTAACTGTCATCTGCACCATTGGACCATTTTCGGTTTTAGTTGGTGAATTGTTACATGAATGTTTTGCTGGAGTTTTAAGGGATCGAGCATCGAACATGTTTTAACCTACTTTTACTAAAACAGTTTGCCTGCAGAGGCTATTAAACTGATACCACTGGGATAACTAGACCATAAATTATTGTAATTTACCACAGATGCACTAATAGTTCCTGTAGGAATATGGCTGTTATTTTTAAGTGAAATAAGAAAGAATAATGATTTCACATCATATCAGTCTGCAATTAGCATCACTGTCAGTTTTTGCGCGTTGGGAAAAAGTATTACAATGCAATATGATACAATGCAACAACATTACAGTAAATGAGTATAAACCAATGGGGAGATGAACAAACACATCCCTGATTCATCAAAATATAAAATGGTCTAAATAAAGAAGTCTCATTTGATCACTTGAGACGGACCATTGAGTCGAACATTAGTTCATGGCAGATGTATTGTATTAGTGGATATGTGGTTTGTGAAACTGCAAAATGTAACACAATTCCCAGAAAAACTTATCGAGGGGTAAAAATGTTGGTGATATCAGTTTATGTATAAAAGCGAATATCGAGTGAGATTTTGATACTTTCTCCGATTTGTTCCACTTGTCAACACAGACTCATTTAGCTTCTATTTCACTGTGCTACTGCTTCATTCAAAATGGGCCTGTGAGTCTGACTATCACTTGAAGTGAAACAGAGTAAATGCTGGGAATCTCTGGAAGAGCGCCAGAGGGTGCTGGTGGTGCAGCTGCACTCAGATCGAGGGCCCCAGGGGCCCCCACATGAACCCAAGCTGGTCTGTGTGCTGATGAGCTGTGCACATAGAGGCTGTGTGTGTGTGTGTGTGTGTGTGTGTGTGTGTGTGTGTGTGTGTGTGTGTGTGAACGGAGACAAAGGTGCCCCGTGAAAGCTATATTTATTATTGCTGTGTCTGCAGCACCAAAGGGCTAAACTGTGGAAACTCTTTAGTGAGAGAACTGCCCACAGGTAATAAATGCAAATTAATTGTGAGGCGTGCCCCTCAGGCAGATAAAAATCATTGGTCACAAAGTCGGAATTAAAAGAGCTGAACCAGTGTGTCATTAGCTGAGGAGCAGGCGTCGGGGGGAACCTTGTCTTTGACTTTCTGTGCCTTTATGTTTGATGTAAAACTCAAACTGACACACGGAACCGAACTGCCAAGTGTGAGAAACCTCCCTCCTCCTTCTTCTCAGGGACTGAAACACACTCACTTTCCATCTAAAGGGCCCCCAAACTGGCTGCATGTGGGCGGCCCCAGAGCACCACCAGCTACAGTCAATTTAAGTGTGTGTGCATGTGTGTGTGTCTGCACCTGTCAGTCTAATGCTTGGTGAGTTGTAGTAATTGCTCGGCCATGGCGACCTGCTGAACCCCTGTAACAGAGCTCAGATAGCCTTTGTAAAGAGTAGCACCCCCCCACCAGACACATGCACACACACACACACATCGGTAGACAACGGCAGCGCGGAGGAGGAGGAAGACGAAGATTGAACGTAAACTGGAGGTGACACCTGTCAAACCAGTTACTAAATAGTGGGTTTATCTGAGAGAAAAATAGGAAAAAAAACTGAGACGCCCTGCGGACTTGCAGCATAAACCAACGGAGAAACAGCAATTAGACGCATCTTTTCTGTGCTCAGAGAGAGAGAGAGAGAGAGAGAGAGAGGGAGAGGGAGAGTGGGGAGTCTGTAATGGTGCTTGATCAGAGGTTAGTCTCTCTCTCTCTCTCTCTCTCTGTCTCTCTCCCTCTCTCTCCATCCCACACACACACACACACACACACACACACACACACAGACAGAGACACTCGCTCCAAACACATTAACCCACAGCGGAGGGAGACGACAGGGTGGGAGATAACTAGCGCACATCGCGGAGCTCCGGGAGAGCCGAGCATCCTTCCTCCTGGAGCCGCCGCTCGCCGGGACTTAACGGAGCCGCGTGAACACCCATTAAGTTGAGAGGATGATTTGACGAGGACGGCCGGAGGGGGAGGCGAGCGGGAGAGAGGAAGAAAAATGGATTAAAAGAGGTATGATCTGTGTGGAGGTTGATGACTGCGCGTTGGTAGAGGAAACAGGTGAACGGTTCATGCAGGTTAGGAAATGACAGGCTTTAAATGTATATATCTACATATATGTATATGTATATATATATATATATATATTCATATTTATTTATATGGCTCGTGAAGCGAACAGGCTTTTTACTCTGGTTGAAGGATGTGTGCTCGTACTTTGTGACCGCGTGATGGTTCGTGCAGCTACCTGCTGGACCGAAACAAACAACAAAGTCAGATTTAAGAGAGTGGCAGCGAGGGAGATTAAAGTGGCAGATTATACTTTGTGAAGAGATAAAATTCCCACTTGCATGTTTTCTCTCATCTCTCCCATCGCTCTCTGCTCCTCCCTCCCTGCATCCCTCACAGGAGCAGTGTGGTTTTTGTTTTTGCTTGTGGTCTTTTTATTGAATGTGTGTGTGTGTGTGTGTGTCAGGTGGGTCAGGATGAGTCTCTCCATGTCCTCTCTTACGTGACAATATCTGCCCCCGCCCTCATCACAGGGGCCTGCTCCACGCCGCGCAGGACACCACACAAATCAAAATGTTGCGTCATTACCAAAAATGCCTTACATCCGTCACTGGATGTAAACAAAAAAACATACATCCGTGCGCACGCATGCACGCACACGTACACGTGCACACACACACACACAAACACGCAGCAGATTAGAATGGGATTCTCGGGGCCAGAGGAGTACAGAACAAGGGATTAAAGAAGAAAGGCAGAGATGGAGGGAGGGAGGGAGGGATGGATGGATGGAGGGATGCATGGAGGGATGGATGGATGGATGGATGGAGGGAGGGATGGATGGATGGATGGAGGGATGCATGGAGGGAGGGATGGAGGGAGGGATGGAGGGAGGGATGGATGGATGGAGGAATGGATGGATGGATGGAGGGATCCAGTGAGGCCAAAAAGGGGACACGAGAGAAACAAGTGAGAGAACAAGAGATTAAAGTGTAATGTCCTGGAGAGGGAGAGAGGGAGAGAGGGAGAGAGGGAGAGAGGGAGAGAGAATCCAGGGCAAGTCATGCAGTTAGAGGGAGCTGCTCATTGGCAGAATGTGGAGGGAATAAAGAAGGGAAGGCGGCAGACACTCTTTCTGTATCGCCTCCCTTTTGATCTCCTCTTATTCACCCATACGACAGCAGGAGAGGAGCGCTGCTTATATAACGCTCCATTTGAACACAATACACCAAGAAGGGGTAGGAGAAAACACAATGGGCATCTTAGACATTGTTAAATTGCCTGACAAATTGACAAAAAAATAAAAAATCAGATACTGAATGGCCAGATTTCTTTCATTTCCTCCTTTCTTACTGGCATTGTCCGTCCTAACAAGAGGACCTGCTTCTGCCTGAGAGGCGATCTCGGCTGTTTAAAGTCCTCAGCACCCCCCGTATGTGTATATATATATATATGCACGTCAGTGCCAATGTATTTAGCACACCATGTGTCGGCTGTTTACACACTCGTAGAACCCTGTTGTGTGGGGTTCTTAATTAAACTTAAAAAATCAAATATTAAATCACTAAAATAAAAAACAGCCGGTGAGATCTTCAACATTAACATAACATTTCAAAACAAATGGGAATTTAATACAGTTCTGAATCCTTACTCGCAGTGCAAAGATGCAGTTTATTTGAGTTACTGGGGGGGGGGGGGACACTAAATCCTTTCTACGTGCTGTTCCTGGGAAATTATTTTGGCTTCCGTGTGATTCTTAAACCTACGCCACCGCGTGTCTTTGGGGTAGTGCCCCCACTTTCATGGGTCCAAAACCCTGAGCTGAAAGACGCAAACCCACTCCACAGAGCTGGGGGAGAGGGGGGAGGAGGGGGGGGGGTGCCATAAATGTTGGTCTTTTCGTCCTAAAAAAATAAAAAAAACTAGGTTAGGGCAGCTTTCTTGAACATGATGAATGACCTGAAAATGCACGTGAATGCAGGGAATTTGGTCCATACTGTCGACTGCAGAAACCCCAGCAGCATTGACCACAGGGGGGAGGGGGGTGGTTGCACTGCTCCCGGTTTCCTCCAGTAGTGAGGACATTTGTCCCCGGTGTCAGTTTTGTTCAGTTTACTGGCGAGTGATTGCGTGGAGCTGCGAGCGGTGTTCAGGGCCCTGGGTCACGGCAGCAGGTGTCAAGAGGAAGACGCCTCTCTGTGCTTCATGTGTCCAAGCAGCAGGTCTGCTGTCCAGAGCTCGACCTTCTTCGTTAATGCGCCGAACCGACTGACATCTGACTCGTCTCCTCCGTTGATTCAATTATTTTGTACATCATCTTTGTAACCTCAGGCTGGAGCTTACGTCTATTGACAATCGGGGATCGATTCACTTCAAGGATTATCCTCAGCTCGCTTTTCATCATGATATTCAGCATTGATGTTGAACTGCAAAATGTAAATAATTCAGCAGTTTGAAACCAGGTCTCGACTGTTAACGAGCACATTGATGCTTGTATTAGCTCCTTTTATTAATGACTAAACATTGGAGTTGGTACCCGTCCTAATCAAGGTAATGGACAATCAAGGTTCCATCAACAAATGGAAAATGTCTTTTGCTGCAATCAGTCAGATAACATAAACCTTTGGGCTTCATTGATTAGCAGTTATGAAGTTGTCCGATAATGTCCTGCAATACATCAAAAATGGAGATTTATAAAGATCCCAATAATTAAGTGCCATCCAGAGTTAACAAGTATGTCTAAAGGTAGGTTTCAGCAAAATATCTTTGTACAAGTAGAACAAGCCCAGAGAACAGAGGTGGGAAGGCCTGATAAAGAAATATGGGTCTCAAAATATACCTGCGCATTAATGTTCCCTCACCCCGTCCTTTTAAAGCCTGTGTGTGGGACACACTGCCGTTGTAGCCAGATTTAGAGTATTATCCGCCCTCCAAAAAATGATTTCATAACTGTGTCCAAAACAGTTTATGGAGACAGACTGAGACGGCACATTGTGTCATCACTCACTGCGTCAGATCATTTAGATGAAACTAGTCAGTCAACAAAACCAATCCAATCTGGTTCTTCACGTCCCAATTGAGAATAATTGTAATTTTGAGATTCCCAGTTTGATTAAACAACCAGATGCTTCCACTGTAATGATGATGAGGAAAAAGGCAGCACTGACTGAGAAAATCTTATATCATGTAAATGGTGGGTCAGCCTTTTAAGGCCAATACCGTGAGCTCATAATGAGTCATCGATTTCCGCCTCCCTCATTTCTCTCATCTCATCCGTTTGTCAACACTGTTTTCTGATTACTGAGCAGTAGAAAAAAAAGACTAATTTAAAATGTAAATAACAGACAAGTCAACCTGCGAAAGAACAACGGGCAGCTTCGCTGGATAGAATTATGCCAAATCACAGCTGATATTAACGTGTGATCTACTCCATAATAATCAGTCTCCATCTGATGACGGCAGACGTTCCTGTGACCTCCTTTCTGCAGGTATTGTCATCGAACAACAACGGAAAGCAGCGTTTGTTGGGTTTGCTTGTTGGGTGATTTTTTTTTCTCTCCCTATAGTGTAATCAATATTTTCATAATAAAAATGTATCATGAACCCACGGCTGATTCCCACTTAAATCTGCGGATCCCATCGGCTTTACACAGCTTCATGGTGAGTTTGTGTCAATTGCTTAGCGGCGACTTCATTCTACTTGCATTCAATTAGCCCAAGTGACCCCAAAAGTGTTAAACAATAGAGTTTGTATTAAGTATGAGGAAATTACTTCAGATCAGATTAATTAATATTGTTCATTTGTTTCAATAGAGAATTCAACTTTTACCTTCTGCCTCTTTGTTTATAAAGCAAAACAATCTGCAGAGTTAAAGAGGAGAAGACTATGAGCGTCTCAAAATGGATTCTATGTAGGTTTAGTTCATGTCTTATGCAATCTATTGTGGGCGGCAGTATGGCTGTGCAGCTAACTGTGCTTTTATATAATTGAGGTTATGCCGAGGCTTTATCGATAACAAATACAATCCCAAGAAAATGAAAATGCGTCCCACGGTAGAGAGAGAGAGAGAGAGAGAGAGAGAGAGAGAGAGAGAGAGAGAGAGAGAGAGAGCTGCATGACACAAGGGAAAGTTCTAACAATTTAGGAGGCTCTGCGACACAAAGCAACGGACACACAAACGTAATGCTCTTGCATTAGGCTTTGTTGTGTTGCATTATGGCTTTTGTGTCTGACGCTCTGTGTGTGTCTGTGTGAGTGTGCATTTGTTGGAGCATGGGGTGGTGTTTGGAATTCACGGACATCGGGTCTCACACAAAAAGTCCGTTCAGAGATGAGAGGCAGGACGTCTTCAGAGCAGAAAGAAAAAGACTTGTTGAAGAGCGAAAGAAAAGACAAAGAAATGAGCAGTGTTTGATTCATTAAACCATTCGCACGCACTCAAATAAACTAGAAGTAATACAGTTTTCACCTTGAGATACTGTTTGCACACTCGTGAGAAACAATACTGAACTGTTGCCATTAGGTGTTTGCAATTAAAGGTAATTGAAAGGTATCAGTCGGTATCGCTGGTATTTCTGCAGAATTTGTGTCGTTACTGAGGAGAGAATGTCACAAACAGATGTGGGAGAAGAAGTGCGTGCAGAGAAGGAAGCCAGTGATGAAAGGAAAGCAAAGACCAAAGATGTGATCATCTCGACGAGGAGTTCATCGGTGCAAAGAGTGATTCCTTTTTGATCTTAAATGGATCAAAGGCCGAGGAAGCTAATGGAGCGGGACATGTATAAAAGTATTTATGAATAAATTATGCACTTCTGGCCAAGGGCTACTGATTATTTTGGGAATAAAGAGCCATTAATCATCACACTCTGAACATGCTATTTTTATGTTGTGTGATATGTCTCTTTTTTTTTGTACAGCTGTCGTTATTACAAAACAGATTTCATGTTCCCTTTTACAAGACTTACGGATTTGTTAAGAAATGTATTTGAATGAAAACCAGAAT